ATTTTTCCAAATTGGATTTACGAGCTGGATATCACCAAATTCGAGTGGCGGAGGAGGACATTCCAAAGACGTCATTTCGTACTCACCAAGGACACTACGAATATTTGGTAATGCCATTTGGATTGTGTAATGCTCCATCAACTTTTCAATTTGCAATGAATTCCACATTTCAAGATTTCCTACGCAAGTTCGTTTTGGTATTCTTTGATGACATACTCGTCTATTCGAGAAATTGGGTTAAACATTTAGAGCATTTACGGGTGGTAATGAGAATTTTTAAGGAGAATGATTTTCACATAAAGACTTCGAATTGCTCGTTTGGATTGAAGCCAGTTGAATACTTGGGAAATATAATCTCTTATGAAGGGGTGAAAGTGGCTCCTACGAAGGTTGAGGCGATGCAAAGGTAGCCAAAACCGAAGAATGTGACGGAGATACGAGGATTTTTGGGGCTAACTGGATACTATAGAAAATTCGTCAAGGATTTTGGATCCATTGCCAAAATTTTGACGGAAATGACTAAAAAAGGCAGGTTCAAATGGTCGACGGCAAGCGAAGAGGCATTTGAAAGGTTAAAGAAAGCTATGACTACTACTCTCGTTTTAGCTACGCTGAAGTTCAAAGTGATGTTCGAGGTGCATACCGATGCCAGTGATATTGGAATGTGTGCTTTTCTTATGCAAGAGGATCGGCCTATTGCTTAGTTAAGCAAAGCTTTGGGGAAAACACGAATAGGGTGGTCCGTCTACGTGAAGGAGCTAATGGCGGTGGTAGAAGCAATCCGAGTTTGGAGACCTTACCTCTTGGTACGACACTTTTAGATTGTGACGGATCAACAACTGCTTAAACATCTTTTGAAGCAACGCACGTGACACCAGAGCAAAAGAAATTCATATCGAAGTTTATGGGATTCGACTTTGAGATTTGCTATCGACCGAGGCGCCAAAATTTGGTAGCGGATGCTTTATCACGTTGTACCGATGTTGACGAGTTACATTCCATTTTCGAGCTAACTTGGGACATTTGGGATAAACTACTTGAGGCCCACGTGAAAGATACATTTCGTGTTGAGGCTCGTCGAATGATGGAAGCACAAGACGAAGCGGCTCAAGATTATGATGTGTATGAAGGGTTGCTATTATTCAGAGGGAGGGTTTATGTACCGGAGGATGATGAATTGAGGAATAAGATCATAAGGTACTTTCATAAGTCGAAGATTGGAGGACATTCGGGTATCTACCGTACATAGATGTGAATAGCCAACACCTTCTATTGGTCGGGTCAGAAGAATGAAGTTCGGGACTATGTGATGAAGTGTGATATTTGTCAACGGGTGAAGTCAGACTCCCGAACACCGAGTGGCTTATTACAACCTCTACCGATACTCGAGCGAATTTGGGAGGATATATCTATGGAACTTCATTGAAGGGTTACCGAAGTCGAATGGATTTAATGGAAAAATGTGTTGGGATCTATAAGGATCTCGTTATGACAAATCACGAATTCAATAACAAACGTAAACCTATGCGCAGTGGATCTAAAGGTTTACGTAGAAAATTTTCTTCTTAAAATATATGGCGATCTCGCTGATCTTCTGGATGGTCGTACACAGCACACTAATGAAAAGTAGACTGCAAATCGCGTCCTAGGGTTGCACGAACAAGATCGGATCAAAAACTGGATCAAACGGGTGCAAAATGGATAAAAACAAGCTTGCATGCCTGGGACCTTCCGGTGGCGCGTAAGGGCGCGTGCAGCGTCATACGGCGGCAATCTCAGCGGCGTTGGAAAGCACTGGTCGAGTTGGTCGTCTGGGTATGCTGCACGCCTTGATCGGACATCCGGTTAGTTCTGTACGATAAAATATATTTCGTCTCAGTTTACCTACAAATCTTCTACTGTATGTCTCAAACACCTCTTAACCGGTGGAACAACAAGAAGAAGATAAAGCTCGAATGAGAACTGAGAGAGAGAAGATGATGGGCGGCATGTATAACATGATTTATGAATCATGTGTTCTCTTCCCATGAGCTTAATGATGTATATATATAGCTACAGTAGGGACCCTTATGAGATTAGGAGAAGGGCTCCTTAATTAGTTAAAATACTTGTGGACCAAGCCACTTATTTTAATTAATTAAATAATATTAAATGGGCCACCAACATAATATTATTGCACTCTATTTTTCTAGCCCAATTTACAATTGAGACTCTAATAATAATTACTCGATTTATCTCCCCATGTTTAAGATATAATGCCCATTAATTAATTCGATCACTGACAATCAAGAATTAAGTAATTTATTATTATTTCACCGAAGCTAGCGCTCGTTCATCACATTATTACTATGCCGGAATTTAATCCACCTGTAGGGTTTAGCATAATAATCCTTCATGAACTCACTCCGGGGACATCATCAAACTAACGCACATGGTGACCGTAAATATCCTAACAGCACATCCTACATGCATCAATATTACCCAAGACAGCGGGTCTATTGGCCCAATTCACTAAGCCTCACCCATGTGAATCAAAGTAATAAGTACTACACATATATGCCTGTTTAATATCTTACGGGTTAAGAGTACGCACTAATTAACCGAGGCCTAGTCCGTTTACGACGATCAGTATAAAACGAATTGCTCCTCTTTGAGATCTTGTTCAATACATAAATGTACTAGTGCAACTAATAAGTCAAGACAAACTGTACGGTTGACACTACAACCGTTCACGATGGGGTGTTCATGTCCATCTAGGTTGTGAACCATTAATTATTGTTTCGCGAGTAACTGATAGTATGATCTTCGGTTCGCCAGATGACGACCCACACTATCTAATGCAAAACAACAGAACGTAGAACTTGTTTAATCTAACATGTTTCTCCTTCATAAAGGGTAAAAGTGTGATATCATCCAAAGCCAAGCTTTTAGTATATAACACTAACATAATGGTGGTGGTGGATCGACTCACCAAATATGCACATTTCGTTCCACTTACACACCCTTACACGAAAAAATCGATAGCCAAGTTGTTTGTGGAATATGTGGTTAGGTTGCACGGGGTGCCTCGATCTATTGTATCCGACCGGGATCAAATTTTCTTGAGCAACTTCTGGAAGGAATTCTTCAAGACGCATGGTACTGAATTAGCAATGAGTTCGGTGTACCACCCTCAAACGGACGGCCAAACCGAGGTAACAATTCGTACCTTGGAACAATACTTTAGATGTTACGTTCATCAGTTTCCTAAGAGGTGGGAAGAATTTTTAGCATGGGCTGAGTTTTGGTATAATACTACTTATCATGCATCTACCAAGTTTACTCCATTTGAATTGGTCTATGGATGAAAGGCATTAGTACTCGTTTCTTATTCGATGGGAAAATCGCCGAATGCCGAGGTCAATTAGGAGTAAATCGAATGAGACTTGATGATTCGGGAGCTAAAAACTAACTTGTACGGCTCAATCAACCGAATGAAAGAGTATTATGATAAAGGGAGACGTGAAGAGCAATTCGAGCCAGGTGAGTGGGTTTACTTGAAATTACGTCCATACCGCCAACACACGGTTTTGAGAAATTCTTTGCACTAACTCGGTAGCCGTTTTTATGGACCTTATCAAATCAAAGAATGTGGGATTGGTTGCATATAAGGTGGATTTACCGGCGGAGTCACAAATTCATCCTGTCATTCACGTGTCTCAATTAAAGAGGAGTCTAAGTGACATTTCATGAGGTTCGAACGAAGCTACCGATGTGGATAAAGAAGGGCAGGTCATAGTGCGACCTAGTCGGGCAGTCGACTATCAAAAAATTAAAAAAGCCGGACGATTTCGCTGGGAAGTTTGATCAAATGGGAAGATCTACCCGAAAAGGAGGCAACATGGGAAAACGTTCACGAAATACGTAATCAATTTCTGAACTTTATACTTGAGGACAAGGATTTGCTCGAAGGGGATGGGAATGATGAAAACGAGAGTCGTGTTCTCAAAATTGCTTACAACCAGGCCCGTAGAGCTCGCATGAAGGAAGCTCGGATGGATGAATCAAGTAGCAGGCCTTTTCACTTCATGCAGCAGATTGTCACGCCTCATGTCGCGCCGCTGGACCAACCACGCCGCGACGAAGTTTCGCCTCCACGCCACGAGAGATGTAACGGGTGGACAGAGAAGGAGGGAGAGGCTATCACGCCGTGGACCACGCCACGCAGCAGAGCTCCCAGGTCGCCACGCCGTGATGCTGCTCGCGATGGACGTAATGGCCGGACAGAGAAGGAGGAGGAAAAGATCCTTCACGCCGTGGAACACGCCACGCCGCGGCAACTGGACCCCGCCGCGCCACGCCACACCGCCGCGCCGTGAAGAAGGGAGATCGTGGGATCGGAGCAGCAATTCAATGCAGTTTCCTTGCAATTTTCATAATTTTCATTTGCAGAACTGTATTAAACTTTGTATCTTCAGACTTTGTTTTATCTTATCTTTCAAGTAATATCAAACAAAAATCACTCGGCTTGAGCACCTAAATCATGTCGACCGACAGCCAACTAGCGCGGGTTTACACATATTTTCATATTTTTCTTTATAATTGATACACGATCTTAACACACTGCCCCCACATGCTTTTTCACCCTTTATCTCACACACACCCATGTGGATGTGTGTGATTGTGTGCAAATCAAGAGTTGAAAAAGCATGTGGGGCAGTGCCCCAGTGTAATATCGAATCTTCCACGTTACAGATCTAATATGAGTTGGTCGAAAAAGAAAATGTACATTTGTTTGACAAGCAATAATTTTCTCACGGAACCGAGAAAAGATTTCCAAATTCACCAACCCCAAATTCATTCACCACATATTTTAAAGCTTACAGAGATTCACAAATCTCATCCATATCACAATCCCCAACACAATCACAACAAACCCTTGCGTTTTTTATATTTTTGTTCAAGTGTTATTATTGTAATTGTTGGTAATATTTAACAAATCAGATCAGAGAGGACAAATCATGGGGGTTCCCGCCGTCCTCATTTTCACCTACGGCACCTTGAAGCAGGGGTTCTCCAACCACCTCCTCCTACAGGACATGATGGCCGCAGGAGACGCCTCCTTCGTCGGCGCGTGCCAAACCCTCCATCGATTCCCCCTCGTCTGCGGGCCCTACCGCGTCCCCTTCCTCCTCAACATGCCCGGCCGCGGCCACCGCGTCTCCGGCGAGCTCTACGCCGTATCCGCCGCCGCACTCGCCAGGATGGACGAGCTGGAAGGGATCAGCCGGGGGCACTACGAGCGGCTGCCGATTGAGGTCGAGATGGAATCCGGCGGCGGCCGTTCGGTGGAGGCGTACTTCGGTCACCGGAGCTACGCGGAGGCGCTGTGGAGGAGGAGCGGCGAGGAGGGTTACAACTGCTACACGGAGAAAGTGGCGAGAGGGTACGTGAAGCGCAAGGACAGGCCCCACCACATAACTTTCTTGGACCAGATTCGTCTATTTCTTAATTCCGATTCTGCCCTTCACCAATCCACCTCCTCCTCCTCCTCTTCCAATCGCTAGACGACAAATATCAGGGTTCACGCCTAATCTCTTTTATTTATTTACGTATTTTTCCGTGTGGCTGATTGAATGTTACATTATTTAGTGGCATTTCTAATTTTCATTTCACATATATGAGTATGACGCCTCTTGCTTTGGAAATGGTTTTGTGTGGACTTCGTCACTATGGTAATGTATGAAGATTAGGTAAGCTTCTTTGAATGAAGTTTTTTGTGGTTTTTGTAATTTGCTTGCATACCATATGCTTTGGTAAAGGGGAAAAACATGGAGCTATAAGATGGTTTTCATATGGAGTCATCCGCTACTTAATGTGTCGACATATGCCCAAAGTGATGTCCAAAGTGTATTTATTGTAAGACACGTGTCAATACACTATTAGTGAATAAATGTGGATGACTCCATAAGTCAGCAAAACTGTTTTTTTTAGTTAAAATACAAGTAAATAAACACACTAATTAGACGTGCATTTCCCTAAACTATTCCTCAATCAACACATTTTGGTCATGGTTGTAGAATTATCTTCGCTGGATATATTTCCAACAATCCTGGAGTTGGAAAATTTTCAAATCCAAACAATGTATCACTCGAATCAGTAACTGAATCACACTTCGTACATATAATCGGATAAGAATAAACTTCACAAGGATCAATAATTCAGGCCGTTCATGTTTGATGTCATTATGAAGTTTCTCTGAGCAAATAAACGAGAGAAGAAAATAATCAGGTTTTTAAAATAATCAGGTTTTTAAAATAATCAGGTTTTTTTCAAGCATCACGACCACAAACATAACGGAAAAATTATAACCTGCAACACCAAGCCAAGTTGCAAAAGCTTGAATATCACACAAATGGAAAACCAAACGAGCCAAACAATTATTATGGAGCAGCTTCTTCAGCATCAGTGCGAACGGGCACCTGGGGCAGATTAATTCCACCTCTCAACCGGGATGATATTTTCTCAATGGCCGAGTTGAGTTGGCTGATTTTTTCATACAGTGTGTGCCTGTTTATCTGATTTTTAATAATGACAAGGAGTATGAATGTGGTTAATGAAACTAAATAAGCTCTCACGCACACGAAACAAGAATAGATGCAGCAAGTGTTGTTAAGTTACCTCGAAACCGTCATCATAGTAAATTGGTCCTTTTGCCCTCTTGAAGCCATATTCATCTTCATTGAGCAGAGTTCTTCGAATCTAATAACACATGAACAGATGGAGTAAATAAATAAATCAAGAACCATACAACATAATTGTGTTGACAAGCAAGCAAATTGTTGAAAGGTTCTGCAACATCAAATAGTATTAGTTTCAGGGAAATTTTCACATCATCAAATAGTATTGTTTTTCCGGTTAATCAGTTCATAAATATTGATTTGATGCCTCATAGTCGGCTCTTGAGCAAAAGCAATCACTCAATCTCATAGATATATACAGTAAGGGCCAACAAAAAGGAGTTTTCAAAAGTATATATCAGAAAGCTCAAGGCGAAAATGAGAGAATAATAGAATAATTTGTTCCCACCTGTGGAGCAAACATGCATGCAAGTGTTCCAAATACTGCACCTCCGAAAAGGAAACCAGCTACGAATTCAGCACCACTTCCGCTGCTACGGTCACTACATGTTGCATGGTTAAAATTTAGAAATTTATCAGACAATCAAACTTAAACAACAATTTAGAAATTATTATTAATCTACAGCAGATAATGCAATTTCAGTTATTAATAACGTGAAGCCAACCTGCTTCATTTATCTAGCTCATCTAACACAAAAGATGAATAAGAAAATCCGGTCAAGTAAAAAGAATCTCAAAGATACTGAACGGTGGAGATAAGAAATGTTTATCCCATATTCACTAGTCTATGCAGTGAGCACGAGCACAATTCTGCGGCAAGGACAAGGGTAATTTTAAATTCATCAATAATACTTTACTTTGCCAACATGCAGGATAATAATATTCATGTCAGCATAACTAGAACATTTTTTTAAAACAATCTGATAAAGATACATACATCATGAGAGAGTCCATCAGTGATAACTCGAGTTCAGCTCACATATCATTAAATATGTCAATCGCTCTTAAATATTGAGATGGAGAACCTCAACTTTTTTCCTCATGAGTGCTCTAGCTGTGGGCAAATCTTTTAGAATTCGCATAAACGGACCAATCATGATAAGCTAGGATGAGCAACTAGACTATAACAAGACACCTATAGCAGGACAGCCATCTAGTTATTTATGATTTCCGATGACAAAAAGAAACCTTGAAATTCAAACTTGGAAACCATAAAGTTCTCCTATGGACAAGGAACCACAGGCTAAACTTTGAAGAAAAAACAGAAACCTAATAGAATGCTGAATGGGGTTTTTTTAAATTTAAAATCTGAAAGATGTATTAACTATCAATTCGGGACCTAAGACTATTTTTATCAATTCACGTCCTGAAATATATAGTACTATCAATTGGGCCCAATTTTTAACACATATACAAATAATTTAACAACAAAGTACATTAATAAAGAAGATAGAATAAAAACAAGGCAATTGGGAGCACTTCAGAACATTTTTCCACTCTAATTCACAAAAACTAATTCTTTATTCTGCTCCAAATATCTGCAAGGGGAGTCAACCGCAAATTACGAATCCTCTTTCCCATATACCGCTGACAAGCAAACGTCTCATTGTGACTCAAAGCTAGTCAAACAAGAAATCCGGTGAACATCATAATAGGCAGGATGATGGTCGAGCAATGTGATTTTGGCTTTGGGTTGATGGCCGCTAAGTCCTGGGTTTCAAGTCACTATTTTACTTAGGTCTTTGGTGAGATCTGAGCTGCTTGCTTTGGGCAAAATTTTGGCTGAGTGAGAAAATTTAAATGTGATGACAAAAAGGAGTCCTAGTTGTTGATGTTGTCATACTACGCCGAGTTCAGAAACCATTGAATATCGATCTACCGGAATAAAATACTTCTATTATTCATAGTGAATCAATGAATCGATACGAATAATGAACTCTTTAAGACATAAGAATAGGGCTTTTCATAATATCTCTTCAGGATTTGGCCTTGCGCCACGGAATAAGAAAAAAGACGAAACTGATTTAGACCTACTAAAAAAGAAGATACCAAACAAGATGAAGAAGGGGGGTTCTTCCCTCAACTATTGTAAATTTACTCTTTTTTTTTTTTTATTATTATTATTATTGACATGCCCTGCTTGTGGAGGTTAATCGTTTGTAATTCTTGACAGTGTTATATTGTTGAGCCGTGAATTGATAGGTCAAAATTTTTCAGGTCTTGGAATTATAAGAATTTTCTTTCGTGTCCCAAATTGATAATTTACACATCCTTCAAGTCCTAGACCCAAAAAACTCCCCTATAGAATAATGTGTTCTTTAAACACAAATTTAGTAGAAGAATTCTTATGGAGTCGCTATCTTCATGACCATACAAAATCCTTCTATGCTGCACAACATGGATGCCAGCACCTGCATGATATAAACCATATACAGCTCGAGGATACGACAAGCAATCCATAAAGGGGAGGGGTCTCCGAGAGGTCTGAGAAGCGTGTAGAAATGCCTGGAATGGTATACTGGTCGAGATGCTCTAGAAAGAGGTCTGAGAAGCGTGTAGAAATGCCTGGAATGGTATATTGGTCGAGATGCTCTAGAAAGGACCCCGAATACATATAAAACATTATGGAAGCATGAGGGATGTCTCGAAAATGTATTTAAAGTTACTGAGGCATATGTGGGACATCAGAAATGCATAGGGCACATTCTTAAAGCATGCAGAAAGCGTGCTCTACCTTGAAGAAAACTCAAGGGTATGCCAGAATGATCTGGAACCTCCAAACGCCATATGGAGTAGTGTAGAACCTTTGACTGTTATGCACATGTGGAGAATTGGAGAACTCTCCAAAAATCTTGTATATATTGGTGGTTGTAGGAGATGTGAATATAAGGCAATAAATATTCTGTGACATTCATAACTAGAGAATATGGGATGTCTCTAACGCATGACATATTGCCGGTGATGGGAGCTCTGATTAGGGGATATAGTTGGATTCTTCAAGAAAAAGATTCTATATATATATTTTCATACAAAGCGTATATATAATTTCATAGAAAGCCAATGACGATATCTTCAGAGGTATTCAGTTAAACTCCCATATAAATAGTGTTTTTATTTACTCTATAAGACTTTAATGAGTAATCTAGCTAATGTTATGTTTTAACTTAGTACACGACAAATGTGTTGACTGACTTAGCCATGGTTATTTTGTGATCTTTCAAATAGCTAGATTTAGTCCGCACTAAATACGTGACAAACATAATTTTGACTTAGTTACAATAGGTGTGAAGAATCAGAAAAGAGATCATACGTAATTCTATTGATGATATTATAATAAGCATGAACAAGAGGTATGAAACTTCTACCCAGCAAAAAACTTGCCCAGTAGTCAATGCTATTACAAAATGAATCTCTTCATACATATCCTACTGACCACTCTTTCTTATATACGAAATTATAGCTAATGTAAAACGGTTATCCATGTCCATATAAAAGGTTTGGCATTTACTTGAAATATTATGTATAATATTCTATAGAATATAATCCTTGTGCACTTAAATTGGTTTATTTGCTTTCTTTAGTTGTTTCCCTAGATTAGTTTTGAATATATTGTAAGGCGACAATTAGTTTCCTTGTACTCTTTTATTGAGCAGTAGAATAGCATGATAAAAAGAAATATTATGTATAATATTCTATAGAATAAAATCCTTGTGCACTTAAATTGGTTTATTTGCTTTCTTTAGTTGTTTCCCTAGATTAGTTTTGAATATATTGTAAGGCGATAATTAGTTTCCTTGTACTCTTTTATTCAGCAATAGAATAGCATGATAAAAAGAAAAAGCTGTCACTTCAACAGCACCAACAAGATGTGTTCTTTTGTGTTCGCGTGAGTTTTTCTTGTGTCTTGATCTTTGATCTCGACGGAACCGAATGTTGTCTCTCCGGATAAGTTCTAATAAGTGGCATTAGAGCTACTCGTACCTGGGACCATGAGTGGGAAGAAGAGTGTCGAAGGCTCCTCAAAGGACGACACTAAGATCAAACGAGCGATTCGTTAGGTGATCGGTGGGAGTAGCTACCTTGTTCTCACCAAAACCAATTACTCCGACTGGAACGCATCGTTCCCGATGAAGGTCAAGTTGAAGGCCAGGATCGAGGATGGCAGCATCGATTCACAGGAAGAGATGATGACACTTGACTCCTTGTGCGGCCCGCTGCCACAAGAGATGGTGCCGACGGTCAATAAGAAGGAGACTGATGTAGCACTTAGAATGGGACCGGCTTGAGCAGACAGCTCGGGTAGAACAGTCCAGAAGAGCTTCAGTCTATCAAGAAATAAGCATCACAGACAAAGGAGCTCGCACTCGAGCTCAGGGTACGGACCTAGAGAGAGGACCTAAGGGTTGTACCGTAAGGAGTAAAAATCTTAGTAAGAAAGTATCACTTGCTCAAGAAGATTGTATAGAAGAAGATTGTATAAATAGAGACGTGGTAAGTTAAAAATTGTGATCGGGTCAGAACTCTTTCCTAACAAGGACTCTCTAGGGCAACAAGAAGAGTACCATATATAAGGGTGTCAGGTTCTTCACTAACACATCGCATTCTACGCCGTAAATTAAATATTCTCGTATATAATTGTTGAGCAAGTTTTGACTTGAGCGTTGGAGATTTTTTCGGCGGGACCCCCTACCGGCGTATTGCAGGTCACAAGAGCTTAAAAGACGAAAGAGGTTCACAAAAAAGGCGGTTTAACTCGGTTTGTGACGAAAGTGATGTAACAGAGACGGCAAAGGAGGCCTGGGACGACCGCGTGAGAAAGTCGACGGCGCAGCAGTTGCGTTGGAAATTTGACCTTTCGACCTCGCCACCTTCGACGACGGTGAAACCGTCGAGGAGTAAGCGTCGCCTAAATGGCATGGTGGTGCACCTTGGCACGCTGGATGAGGATATGGCGGAGCGAGATTCTCGCGAAGATACTATGTACCCTATTGCCTCGGCACAAGAAAATCTCACTATTGGACGTGACAAACATGACGGTCGCCGAACTGTGGAAACTGAAGGAGGCGGAGGAGAGTTATGAAGAAGCCCCTGCGTTGCTGCAGCACGAGGGGAAAATGTACCTCACGGAGGAGAAATGGGACGCGCGGCGGAATAAGCGTCAGGCAGAGAACCACTTTGGTTGCGGCGCAAAAGATGGCGGCGGCGCGAAAAACAGATTCGCAAGCGCAGTCGGGGCGCAGAGGTTTGTCGTCTGCCGGGCCATCAAATTCACACCAGCCAACCGGAGATGAATGCAGGCGCTGCGGCGGGAAGATCAGTCATTGAGCAAATAGCAGGGACTTGAATTTGCTGATCCCTTAATTCTCAGCCCTTCTCGCTTGCGTGTGCCGGTTGAAGCCCAAGAGGGAGGGAACAGACTAATGTGACACAAGCTGAGGAGGCATCGTTGATACTCGTGAAGTCCTTACCTTTCATATCCCCATCGTCGCCACCAACATCCAAGGGAGCATTTCCAGTCGAGATACCCCCGACAACACTCCAAGATGTCTTGAGGAAGTGCCGCTAGGATTGAAGCAAGGTCATGGACACAGCGGATCATTGGAACAACGCCAATGGAATTGAGCACCCCAATCGAGATTCGCGAGGAGAAAGTATTCGACCACCTAAACGAGTAGGAGAAGGAGCGAGAGGCGCAATCAAATCCATGGTCGCGTTCTCGAAGCTAGACATGGCGGTGCTCGATGCAGTGCGGTTTGGCGACGACTCAGTGGCACTGATCGACGGTCGGGGAACCGTCGTGTTCACATGCAAGAATGACGAGCTCTGATCGGCGTCTACGTCATCCCCCAGGAAATGATGATCATCATCAACCTCGGACAGCTAGACGAGGGCGGCTACAAGTTCAACATCGACAACTAGGTGAATAAGGGAGCCCCACAGACAGTTGGTGGTGAAGGTGACGCGGGAGTCCAACAGCTTGTACGAGCTCAGCATCAAGTGGTGCAGCCATCGTGCTTAGCAATGCGTAGGAACGACTACAAGATGGCATATCATTGGCATGAGCGCTTCAGCCATGTCGACGCGCATTAAGCTGGCTGGTGAGTGGTCGACTGCAGGTCGACCAGTTGTGCAACGCGTGCCAAGCCGGGAAGCACAGCCGGACTTCATTCCCGACACAGACAAAGTACCGTGCATGGCAGCGTCTCGAGCTGGCGCAGGGTGCTATCACGCAGACAACGCCCAAAGGTAACAAGCACTTTTGCTAATGGTGGGTCACCTGAGCAGATACATGTGGGTAGCCGCGATTCCCTCAAAAGATCGTATCACGACTGCCGCACCGATCGCGGGGGCAAGTTCACCACCAACAAGTTTGCGAACTACTGCGCGACTGAGGGTGTGCACCGTCAGCACACGACACCTTGTAGCCCGCAGTAGAACAGTGTCGCTGAACGACGAAATGGCACAGTGGTGAGCGAAGAACAATTGGAGGAAGGCTTCTGTGTGTGCGCAGTCTGGTAGACTGCTGGCTCTGGCTCTAACCAAGAATCTACAGAGGAAGGCTTGATTAATGTCGAATTTATTTGGAGGGTAGGAGCGAAGAACAATTGGGCGACATTTTCACGAAGCCGATTAGGAGGACCAAGTTCCATGATTTGCGCTTTAAGATTGGCTTGGTCAATGTCAAGTAATGTGCACAAGGCTTAGGAGAAAATTGTAGAAAATATTCTATTATAAGATATAACCCGTGTGCAGCTAGTGTGCAGCTAAATTAGTTTATTTACTTCGCTTGTTTGCTTCCCTAAACTAGTTGTGAATATCGGTCTGGGCCATAATTAGTTCCCTTGTAATCTTTTATTTAACCATAGAATAGCATCAGAAACAAGTTTGCAGTTCAACAGCACCAAACAACAAGATCGTGTTCAAGATTGTGTTATTTTGTGTTCACGTGAGTTTTTCCTGCGTTTAATATTTGATCTCGCGGGCAACCGGGTATTGTCTCTTCGACGAAGTTCTAACAAGAACAAGTATGAAACTTCACGTTGTCAAGCAAGAAACTTGATCCTGTGACAAATAAATCTCTTCTTACCTATTCTGTTTACAGTCTACCTTATATAGTAAACTACACGGGAAGAAAATAATAGCATGTAATCCCAAAACAATCATAATCCTAAAATTATGCACCAATTTAAGCTACAAAAAATCAGCATAAGATATTCTAAGACCTACAGACGTACACGATCATTTGTACTGATTATATATAGTCCTCCCTACTTAGTATATATAGTCCATAATCTTATATACGCAAATGAAAAAATCGTATTATTTCCAATTCCTTCCAAATAAATTATAATACATTGACTATGAAACATCAATTGGGAATTAAAAAATAAAAAATAAAAAAATCATACTTGTACTTAGCATGAATACGCAATGGAGACTGAGTCTTGCTTCGTAACGTTAATTGCCGTGCATTACCAAAGGCACCCGAGTTTACAGCTGAAAAGTTGGTGATCTTAGTACGATTCCCACCTGCAATACAACCTAAACAGTTAAAAATTACAACAGCATTATATGAGAAGCCAAATGAGCTTCGTAAGTACAGAAATCTCGATAAAGATGAGAATTTGTGTGGGATTGTGTGACTAAAAGTAATTGGAGAAGGGCAGGAAAATCAGATTAAAAATCAGGATTTAACCAATTGATTTACAAGTGAAGAAGAAAGGCGCAGTAGAAAGCATGATAACGTATTACCGGCGAGAGAAACAGGAATTGTAGCGGCGGCAGCCATCGAGATGAAATGAGAAAACAGAAGCAATGAGGAGACGAAAACGACGAAGATGAGAGGGAGGGATTGGGAGGGGTTATTTACCGAGTCACCAGCAGCACAGTTAAAACAGAGTGAGGGATTTTTGGGACACCTAATGAATTTTCACCGTATGTCAGAAAATCAGTTTCTTCTCGCACATACTTTACAGTGTTTTTTTTTTTTTATTTATTTTTTTTTTTAAAATCGGCAGAGATAACTATTATTAAAACTCAAAGCAAACAAGGTTCGAATAGAATTAGTTCATTGTCGACTAAAAAAGAAAATGAGCGACACGCTCTAAGCGGTCTAGAGCCTCAACAAAGAGAAAAAATACAACTAGAAAACAAGCATGCTAGAAGAATCCAAAGAGAGAAGCACCCGACCACCGCTATAAAGCCTAACAAAGCACTTCACTCCAATCTACAACAAACTACTGAAAATTAAAAGGAAATAAAAGAGCTAAGAAACATGAGAGAATTCGAACCAATCAGTTTGAGTCATCTTTACCAACATATGCTCCGATATTAATGATTTTTGAAAGATCCATAAATTCTTTGATTTCTAAAGCCACCACCGCATGTACATACTGAGTTGTATTCTTGCTTCGGCCACTTCAAATTTGTCAAGAGAGCATACTTGATACCACCAGGCTTTGAAATAATTAGTGTATCCCATTAAATAGGGATTTACTTCCAAAATCTGGTTGCTCTTGAACATGAGAAAATAAGTATGCTACACGGTTTCTGCAGCTTCTTCACAAAGTGTACAGGTGGTGTCTATATTCACTCCTCTCTTCCTCAAGTGAATAGCAACTGGTAGGGTACCTGAAATGCTTTTCCATAAAATATGTTTAATTGTACCTGCTATCTTCATCTTCCAAAGTCTGAATTTGATGGATTTTCTAGAGGTCGTGGTATTGTTGCATTCTGGAATGTTTGGGTGCAAGAGCTTGAGTTTGTGGAGGTAGGCACAAATGCTAGATACTGTGAAAAGTCCCTTCTTCTCCAGACCCCGGAAATCCTTTCATTCCTTTGAGGGTGCAGAGTAGAGATGTTTAAAATTGCATTACTGTCTGCCTCATTGAAAACCTGTTTAACCAGCCATTCATTCCATTGAGAGCTCTTTCACACAGATCAAATGTCTTCTAGCAATGGGAGATGGTGTAGGCGCAGGTTTGTGAAGGTTAGGCACACAATTAAAGTCCTCAATTATGGTGTTAGCCCCATTTCTGATTTCACATTTCAAATACTTTGGAAATATAGGCATCAAATCCATCCAACTGTCTTTAAGTATTCTACTGACAAGTAGATCCGGTTTTGATGCTATTCTCCACAGTTGCTTACAAATAAGGGCTTTGTTGAATAATTGCAAATCATGGAAACCCAGTTCACCTTGATCTTCAGGGAGAGATAGGAAGCTCCATTTTCTCCAAATAATACCCTGAGATTGGTCAGCTCCTGAACTTCACCATTACAGTTCAGTTTACACTTTACAATAAATACTGATTTTGGCAAAGTCCGGATCCAACCTGCATGTATTTTACCCTATTCGACTCAATTCATTACCTGGTTATTAGCTTTTGGATTTGGTCTAACGGTTAATCGAGCCCTCTTCGACTCAATCCATTACCTGGTTATTGGCGTTCAGATTTGGTCTAACGGTTAATGGAGCCCTATTCGACTCAATCCGTTACCTGGTTATTGGCTTTCGGTTTTGGGTCTAACGGTTAATCGAGACCTAGGCTCGTCGCGTAAATGGGTAACCCCAATTTATATTTAATTTTATCGATTTTTAACTAAGATTGAAAAAAATAATTCTGAATAATAATCATAATAAAATTTAATAGTTTTATATAGTCTATTTAATAATAGAACGTTATAAAAAAAATAAAGGTCAATTTTCTGCATAAAATATTTAATAGTAAATATCTAAAATGATGAAAATTTAAAATGAGACTTTGCATAAGAATATAATATATACTGGTACAAAAATAATATTTTGTTTACATTTTACTAATATATTTTATATATACTAATATTTTCTTAATTTATAGTTTGGACAAAAAAGATATATTCAGCCACATTGTTTCTAGTTCTTTTTTCTATTTTTTTATTGTAATTTTGATAATTTTACTCATATATTATACTAACGAAAGACGAATGTTATTATAAATAAAATTTTGCATGGATGATAAACTATTAGTGTTAGTTTCATATTTATAATTAATCTAGTATATGAATGTGGAGAATCTCCAAAAAACATTGAACATGTCGTTTTCCACTGTTCAAGAGCTCAAATGTTATGGAATGTGGGACCAGTTCAATGGGATGGAGTCAATAATGATGGTTGTTCCTTCAGGTCATGGTGGTGGCAACTATGTTGAATTGATAAAACTTCAGTGGCAGAAGACAGGATTCAGCTCACTACATATCTACAGTGGTGGGTATGGAAGTCGAGGAATTTGTGGTTATTTGAAGGGCTAAAAATGTGAATCCTTGTTGTGATCAGAGCAGCTCACAAGGAATGGCTAGGGTTCAGATATTTTCTTTGTTAGTGTTGGCTATTTCTTCTCTGCTGTAGTTGGTTGGCTAGCTAGGCAATTTATGCAGTGGTTGGTTTGGCCCTCTTCCTTTTGTTTTGTTGTAGTTGATTTGTTCATGTTGAGATCTAGGTAGCTTTAATGCATGTCTTCCCACTCTGTCTTTTAGGCTTTGGCCGAGTCTGTCGTTGTATTCAAACTATGTTCGCATTTGAGTTATATATATTATCTTCTATCGTGTTGAAAAAAAAATAATGCATGTCATGACTACTTTTATATTTATGCCAACCT